TTAATACAACATTTAAATGAGAAACATGCACAGATTAAATTCTAATCGAACATGTGTTTTAAGATTAGGTTTTCCATTGAAGTATATTTATTTTCTTCTCTCGTAGATTTACACATTAGACATCAACAAACCAGAAGACTGCTGGAAAAAGTTTGTTTCAAACAGAAACCTTGGACTGTTGTTGTTTTTAGGTATTGTTGCCGGCAATTTGTGGAAAGAATAAAGACAGACTCTGAAGAAATGAACAAGCCTTCATATAATTAGAGACGATGTTTTATTACATTTGTGTGTTTTGTTTTTTTATGAGAAGCACTATTTTAACAACTTATGTATTTTCAAAAATGCCAGTAAATATAAATTGAAATTGCTGCAGTAAGTTTGATTTGATGATTTGAAGTTTGCAGTATGATTAATTTCCTACCTGATGAATGTACTGTACGCCAGTGGCCTCATTACTTTGTTTTGGTCCATAAGTGCCGATGGCGCAATATGGCAGCCTCGCTTCTGTCAGTCTGCCCCAGGGCAGCTGTCCCTACAACTGTAGCTTGCCTCCACCAGTGTGTGAATGTGTGTGTGAATGGGTGGATGACTGGGTGTGTAAAGCGCTTTGGGGTCCCTAGGCGGGACTAGTAAAAGCGCTATACAAATACAGGCCATTTACCATTAAAACACAAAAATATCTGGGTCTTTGCACGACATCCTTCATAAGTCACTGGTTGACATTGGTGCTCTTTGTTTTTATGCTGGGCATGCAGCATTTACCCTCTTTACCTGTGCTTATGTGTCAGAAACCACTTCCAGTTATTAATTATAGGACTTTGGTGAGAGTCAGCATGTAGATCTGCAGACTTTACTTTATGTTTCAGTACTCTACGCTTCAGTACTCTAAAACTTTTAAACAAATTTGAAAGAGAATTCATTTACATCCAGTCCAGTGAAAAACTAAGTACATCTTCCAATATAGAAGGTATGTTTAGTTGCAATAACTTTATCATTTTCCCTATGAGTTTATCAGTTCCTTACATTGTTTTGGCCCACTCTTCTTTACAGTGTTGTTTCAGCTCGATATTTGCAGGCATTTGTTTATGCAAAGGTTTCTTAAGGTCCCACCACAACAATTCAATCAGGTTGAGGACTGGACTTTAACCGGTCAATTGCAACACTTTGATGTGTTTCTTTTTTTAGCCATTCTGTTGTAGATTTGCAGGTGTGCTTTGGATCATTGTCCTGTTGTACGACCCACTTTTGGCAAAACTTTAGCTGTCACACAGATGGCCTCACATTTGACTCTAAAGTACTTCAGTATACAGAAGAGTTGAAGGTCGACTCAGTGAATGTAAGGTGTCCAGGTCCTCGGCATCCTGTGTTTTGGTTTTTGCCAAACGTAGTTCTGTGCATTATGGCCATGTTGGGTTTTTTTTTTTTTCTTGGTTGTCATTCAGTTGAAACGTAGCAAACCTAAACTGCTGCTTTCTTTTTAGAAAGAAGAGATTTTTCTCCTGCCAAACAAGCCACAACTGTTCAGTCAAATTGCACTGCCATGAGAGTCTGAGATGTAGCCCATATTACATCTGAATGCTCCGACCCAGAAACCGCTGAAACAACCGCTTTCATAGAGGTGATC